GAGACAGGACAGGACAGCCGTGACACTGGACAGGACGTGACAAACGAGGGGACAGGAGAGGGAGAGAGAGCTTTTGATGAGAAGAAAGGACCGAGAGACCCAAACAACACAGAGTGCACCAGAGACAAGTGCCAGGACACACACCGGAACTGCTCTGCCCAGCACACCTCAGCACCGAGATCAAAACAGACATTTTCCCTTCAGGTGGCCTAAGGAGACGCTTCTTGCACATCCCCATCTCCAAATCTGACTCAAAAACCCTTCCTGGGGAGTCCCTGGCACCTCTCTTCCATCCCCTCTCTGGGTTGTAGCCCTGGACTTATCTTGCACATATCCTGGGATGCAAATCCCCATCGGGTGAGGCCTCCAGCCTGTCTGGGGAGTTCCAGTTGTCCCCAGGCCGTTCTCTCTTGGTCTGACCAGAGAAAGAAAACCAAACATCAGTGCACAGTCTTAACAGCACATTGGACCAAACCTGATAATTCTGCTACTCACCATTCTCCTCAGAATGCCCAGGTTCTCCGGCCAGCACACTTCGGGCGTGCTTGGATTCTGACGCCGTCATTGCAGGGTACACCTAAGTTCAGTGGAGACAAGGCGACATAGCATTGCTCAAACATGAGTGGACTCCCACTCCTCCTCCTCCCTACCCCCCCGACTCACTGCAACTCCTCGGCCATTCCTCTGGGCTACCAGGATGGGACCTTGACATGCAAAATTGGAAGGTTTCATCACAGGGTCCTGGAATACTTCCACCGAGATCACAAGCGCATGAAACCGGGTCCTTCAGCCAGTTGGTGACAGAGGTATGTGTACTCCAGGTCGATTCCCTAAAGCACAAAAAGGAGAAAGGATGCTTACAGCTGCAATAAAAACTGAAACCTGAGCAAGAACAACTGCTTCTGACCTCTGCTCACCTGGTACACTGGACCTTGACTTCTGCTATCTGCCCGGACCTCCTAAAAATAAAGGCAAAGAACACTGCTGTAACACAGTCACCATTTAGGCTTCCCCTGCAAACGCAAACAATGACTGACCAGCTGACGGAAGTTCCTCACCCAGGATTGGGACTCCGCTGCCACAGATTTGAACTGTCAGCATCTGAAAGGAAGTTAGGACTAGTGTTAAAAGGCTGCAAGACAACTTAACAGCACCAAACATCTTACGTCAATCTCCTAATACAATCTAGAGCTCAAATACACCCTGCATTACCCATTTCAAGTCCCCAGGACTTGTGCTATTACGGGCTAGGCAGCAGGGCAGAGCACCGCCGGGAGACAGGACAGGACACCCGTGACACGGGACAGGACGTGACAAACGAGGGGACAGGAGAGGGAGAGAGAGCTTTTGATGAGAAGAAAGGACCGAGAGACCCAAACAACACAGAGTGCACCAGAGACAAGTGCCAGGACACACACCGGAACTGCTCTGCCCAGCACACCTCAGCACCGAGATCAAAACAGACATTTTCCCTTCAGGTGGCCTAAGGAGACGCTTCTTGCACATCCCCATCTCCAAATCTGACTCAAAAACCCTTCCTGGGGAGTCCCTGGCACCTCTCTTCCATCCCCTCTCTGGGTTGTAGCCCTTGACTTATCTTGCACATATCCTTGGATGAAAATCCCCATCGGGTGAGGCCTCCAGCCTGTCTGGGAAGTTCCAGTTGTCCCCAGGCCGTTCGCTCTTGGTCTGACCAGAGAAAGAAAACCAAACATCAGTGCACAGTCTTAACAGCACATCGGACAAAACCTGGTAAATCTGCTACTCACCATTCTCCTCAGAGTGCCCAGGCCACACACTTCAGGCGTGCTTGGAGGCCGACAGCATCACCTATGGGTACAGCACGGTTAAGTGGAGAGGGGGTGACGTGGCATTGCACAAACTTGAGTGTACCCTTGCACTTCCTCCCTACCTCCCTGATTCACCGCAACTCCTTGTCCATTCCTCCGGGCTACCAGAATGGGACCCTGAAAAACAAAAATTTTAGGCTTCATCACAGAGCCCTGCAATACTTCCAGAGGTCTCATAAAGCACAGGAAAATCAGTCCATCAGCCAGCTGGTGACAGGGGCTTGTCATACTCCGAAGGGATTTCCTAAAGCACACAAACAAGAATGGATGCTTACAGTTGCTCCAAAAACTGAAACCTGAGCAAGAACAACAGCTTCTCTCCACTGCTCACCTAGCACAATGGGCCTTGACTGCTGCTATCTGCCTGGACTTCCTAAAAATAAAGGCAAAGAACACTGCTGTAACACAGTCACCATTTAGGCTTCTCCTGCAAATGCAAACAATGACTGACCTGCTTATGCTAACACCTTTACCCAGCACTGGTGCCCTCTACCACAGATTTGAACTGTCTGCATCTGAAAGGAAGTTAGAACTAGTGTCAAACGGCTGCAGGACAACTTAACAGCACCAAAAATATTATGTCAATCTCCCAATAGAATCTAGATCCCAACTACACCCTGCATTACAAATTTCAAGTCCCGGGGATTTGTGCTATTACAGGCTATGCAGCAGGGCAGAGCAGCTCCTGGACAAATGAGTGCAGATACCGGTGACACAGGACAGGACGTGACAAACGAGGGGACAGGACAGGGAGAGAGAGCTTTCAATGAGAAGAATGTGTGCAAGGACTGAGAGACCCAAACAACACAGAGTGCACCAGAGACAAGTTACAGGACACACACTGGAACTGGTCTGCCCTGCATGCTTCAGCACCGCGATCAAAATAGACATTTTCCCTTTAGGTGGCCTAAGGGGACCCTTCTTGCACATGCCCGCCCCCAGAGCTGATTCAATAGGACCTCCCAGCACATTGCCTTCGTCCCCTCTGTGGGCCTTAGCCCTCGACTTATCTCTCAGGCATCCGGGGATGAGAATCCACATCCTGTGCAAATGGAGGCTGCCTCGACAGCTGGGAATGTCTTATGGTCAGCAGGCTGTGGTCCCTTGCTCAGCTACAATCAAGAACAGCAAACATCACTGCATGATCTTAGCTGCTCAGCAGCCACAAACCAGCAATTCTGCTACTCGCCATTCTCCTAAGAACGCCGGGCTCCTCGGGCCGCACGCTTCGCCCTCGCCCTCCTGGCAGGGTCTGCCTGGCTGAAGAGGAGACGAGGTGATGTGGCGTTCCCAAAACTCGAGTGGACCCTAGCTCCCCCTCACTAGTGGTTGCCCGACTTACAGCAACTCCTCAGCCGCTCCTGAAGGCTCCCTGTGTGACACCTTCCAGTGACAAAGATCAAGGCTTCCTTGCAGAGCCGTGTGCCGCTTCCCGAATTCCCACGAGGTCGAAGGAGAGGGTCTGTGGGCTGGTTACAGAGGGGGCTCGTTGTTACACGACTGCACTGCCTAATGCACACAAACATGAATGGATACTTGGAGTTGCAGCAGAGACACTACAGCTGTAGGCACACAAATTCATAAATAAATAAACAAAACCCAAAAATAATACCAAAATATTAACTTTATTTACCCAATATCCAAATTGCCAAATAGATTAACAGAGACACCCTGTTCTATCCCCTCAATAAGGCCTCTTAATTATGCCAAACAAATCCTTAAAACTAAGAAAACCCTGCCTGTATCGAAATAAAAACAAAAAAAAAGTCTTGTAAACTTTATAAATTCATTAACCTAACACATCAGAATCACAAAAATATTAAACCTTTATGAACACCAGAACGCAGTACACACTACCCTCATTTCAACATATAAAAGTAAAGCTATTCCTATTACTAACCTAACACAAATATCACAAAATATAGCAGTAAGAAAAAAAAATAAACCTCACGAAAAAAAAAAATAAAATTTTTATTTTAAGCCAAAAAAAAATCATACATTCTAAACAGGATCTTCCTCAAAATCAAGTATTTCAATAAACCCCAAAAACTCAAACATATTTAAAATAACTACTAAAAAGCCAAAAAACATAAAACAATTAAGCAACCCACCACAACTATCTGAAACTATCAACAATAAACCTTCTTTAAAAAAACCCAACAAATACTCCTTACCACCTCAACAATACATCAGCAGCGACACCAAATAACTCAAAATACTGTAACTCCCATCCAAAAAATGCTCTATAAACTGAAACATTAAAATTCATCTACAAAACCCACTCACCCTTCAACAACCTCCTCTAACCTACACACAAATCTAAAACAAATAAGAATTAACTATAAACTATCATACCTTAAATAACTCCACCATTAAACACTACTGTACCAAACTTATTAAAACTCCAATACAAACTAAAATCAAAAACCACAAAATAACACACCACTGTTAACATTACCAATACATTTTTCTCCATTCCTCTAACAACCGAATACAAACCTCGATTTACCTTCACTTGAAAAACATATACCTACAACCAACTACCCCAAAAATAAAAACACAGTCCTACCATCTAGCATAAATTCATCCAAATGAAACTTAAAAAGAAAACTCCAAAACATCTGTAATAATCTAACAATATTAGATGAAAAGTATAACAAAAATATTTTTAAAAATCATCCAAATTCTTCTAAAATACTATTACACCACAAAACAAAAAAAAAAGCAAAATGAAAAAGCCTACTGAAAAGATCCAATTCCTAAAAATAAAATAACAAAAGAAACATCAAATTCCCACCAATTTCATCAAAAAAAGTCAGAATGGCTCCACGAGCCAACAAAAAAAACCGCCAACCTATAAGAAAATGCCAAACCACCTCGAAAACAAACAATAAAACACAGCCCCTCTTACCACGGTATTATTTTAATACTATGATTAAAATACACGTTCTATACAAAAATGTCTCCTACCCCGCCATCAATTCCACATAAAGCAAATAATTTAACTCTTATCATACAGGACATCCATATCAAAAATCTCAATCGCCCTAAATCCTTAAAAATAATAACAAATTAACCCCAGAATAAAAACTTTAATCTCTAACAAAAGAAACCCAAAACCAAACAACACAAACTAAAAATACACCACCATAGAACCAACTACCAGCAAAAAATAAACCCACGCTACACTCTTCACTAACAGTTCTTCGTGAGACACATCACAAAAATTAAACAAAAATAAAAAACAACCCATAGAAACCAAAACATACATAGAAAACGAATTACAAAACCCACTAGAAAAAGAAGTCCAACCAGCTTACTAACTTCAAACTGTACAACAGACCCTGAAAGCTACTAAAAATGAAAACCACACCCCTACACTAACTCGAAGAGTAACCAGTAGTCTAATTTAATGTTAAAAACTAAAGTAATAAACGATATTAAAATATTCTAAATCACTAGACAAGAAAAAGATAAGTACCCAAATAAAAAACTACCTAAAAAAACCCACCGTATAAATACACATGTTCCTAAAAAAAACCCCACTAATAAAAAGCAACCAACAAATACATCAAACTAAAACAAAACCCAAATAAATAAACTTAAATTAACAACAACAAAAATTATTCCTAATTCAATAAAGCCATAATGCCTCAAACCATCAAAATACAAATACCACCTAGAAATAAACACGTCACCAAAAGATAAATGCAACCATAAACAATAACTCCCAAATTACCGGTAACAATAAAACATTCACGACAATTAAACAAACCAAATGAATAAAACCTCTATAAGAGAATTAAAAAGAACACAATTATCAATATTAAAAAAAAAACAAAAAAAAACCAACTTACTAATTGACTACAGGACACTACCCCAAACCCACCAAAACAACCACTACATACTCACGCTAATAAAAACCACCACAGCCTAATTAAAAACCAACCCTGTACTTCATGCTACGACCCATAAAAACCACAGTAAACCTTAAAAAAAAATATCCTTTAAGAAGGTAACTACTACTGTATTTTAATAATATAAAAACAAATAAAAAACCCAACATATCCCACAAAAAAAAAAAATCCAACAACAAACTCAATCCAAAAAACCCCTTGTCATCAGCACATGAACCAAGAACCATAACAACAACAGGTACACCAGGACCTTTCTCATACACCAACTACGAACAAAAGAAAACGATCCCCTAAGTTCCTCAAAACCACCACAGCAAGGAACTCTGGAAAATGAAAACCCGCGCTCCCAGCGGAGCGCGGCTCCCGGCAGGAAAGCGGCTCCTCGGGCAGGCACAGGCGGCGCCGCGCCGGGAGACCCCGCCCGCTCCCCCCGGCCCGGCGGGGCCGGCACCGGGCCCGGGGGCCCCGGCGGCGCCCGAGCCCCGCGCCCGGAGCGGACGGAGCGGCGGCACCGGCCGGCACCGGCGCAGCGCCCGCGCCGCCTGCCCCGCCCGCCGGCCCGGCCAAAGCTCCCCTCGGCTCCGCACGGCTCGCACCGGCGCGGCTCCGGCAGTCCCGCGGCAGCCCCGCCGCGCCAAACTCCCCTCCCGCCTCGGCCATCCCCAGCCACTGCCAGCGGGGCTCCCGCGCCGGACCCTTCGCTGCCGGGCCAGGGGCAGAAGAAGCGCCCCAAATGCAGCGGCACAGCCCCATGCCCACCCTGCCAGCGCTGCCACAGCTGCGCCTCCCTTCCTTTGAAGCCCCGAAATTGACGCCACGCTCAGGCGCTCACCTGACTTCAACAAGGGCAAAGAAATGTGGGCTCCCCTTCAAATGCATCCCCTAGAAGAACAGAAAAGAAAAGGGCCTTCCTTAAATGATGGCAAAGGGGGATTTCTACCTCAATCCAAACCCTTTAAAAGGAGGGACAAGAAGACAGCCCCCTCCATTTGAACCTCAGGATGATGAAAAGGTGGGGGCTACCCTGAAGTCAAAACCATCATACGACAACAATATTTTTCCCATTCCATTTAAAAGAGAACACAGGGATTCCCTGTCTCCCCTGCAACATCCCTAACACCCTGGAAAAAAAAAAGATTTTCTTCAGTCAATACCCTTAAAACAAGGGAAGGGAGACCCCTGCCAGTTCAATCATGGACAATAATGGAAGAGGAGTTGCTTTCTTCATTATGAATTTTTGTCCACAATGCCCTCAATTTTTTTTTTTTTTTTTTTTTCCTCCTGGGAGCACCAGGGAGTGACTGGCAAGACCAAATTCAAAAGGGAAAGAAGTCCCCACTACAAAGGGGCACCAGCTCACCTATTTGGCCGCTGCTTCTCGGCACAAAGGTTTGTCCCTCGGCACCTCCTTTCAGCAATGCTCCACGTATCTAAGTGATCCCCCAGACCCTGTCTGAAGCGGTCACCGTCCTTCCATGAGACAGCCCCAGGAGCCCCCCATAAACTCCTCTCCTCCAGCAACTCCGTCCAAAAGCAATGTGAGCAAAACCCCCTAAATCAGCCGCCTGAAGAGCTGCCCCCCTCCTCATCATCCTCACAGCTCACACCTGGGGCTGCTCTGAGACCTCCTCATCCTCACAGTTCACACCTGCCGCTGTTGCCGGCCTCCCTCTCCAGCAAACAGACACAGATCAAACAGAAATCTGCTATGGATGCTGGATTTTCTTAATCCATCTGGTTACATGATCAAAACACATATATCCCACACATCCTCTTCTAGTTTCAGTCACAAGCCCAGACCCAGCATCCATGTCAGAGGCGTAAAGGGATGTCGCCGCAAGAACCCCACAGTCCCAGTGCCAGCCCTTCGGTTCCTATGGTGTGTGCAGTCCCTTTGCCAGCACTGCAGTGATTACAGCACCCGCCCTACAAATCCCCTTTCCCAGCCCCGGTGATTTCAGCTCTTGAACCACAAGCTTTATTTCACTGCCAGCTCTCTTCTTCAGCTCTATCATCAGAGGGCAGCATCTTGGCCTTGGCTCCAGCTCTGCAGCACTTCAGCTCATGCCCCAGGGTCTCTAAGCCCATCCCACCATCCATATCCCAGCCCCGCAGTGATTTCAGCTCCCACCCAGCAACGCCCAGCCACTATGTGTGCACCTGTATCATTTCAGTTCAAAGCCCACAACCCTGTTCTCAGCAATAGAGTTCTTTTTCCATTTTCAGTCACAATCCCAGCCTCACAGTCCACTTGCCCCGAGCCCCACAGATGCCGTTGCAGACCGAGAGCATATCAGAGAGTTGCCGAGTTTTTCAGGCGCAGTGTCAGAGCACCCATCCCTGCACTACACATCCTGTTCTAATTTCAGTCACAAGCCCAGCCCCAGCATCCATGTCAGAGGCATAAAGGGATGTCGCTGAAGAACCCCACAGTCCCTGTGCCAGCCCTTCGGTTCCTATGGTGTGTGCAGTCCCTTTCCCACCACTGCAGTGATTACAGCACCTGCCCTACAAATCCCCTTTCCCAGCCCCAGTGATCTCAGCTCTTGACCCACAAGCTTTATTTTACTGCCAGCTCTCTTCTTCCAGCTCCAGTGGCACCTTGCTCCAGGTCTGCCCAGTGAACTTTCTCCCAGGCAAGAAAACAGGTTCTTGCCTTTGGCTCCAGTTTTTAAGCTTCACCTCCCCATGTAGAAATACCTTTTTCATCCCATTGTAGTAGTGTCCAGTTCAAGCCCCTCATTTTTTTACCCATTCTATGGTCACTCTCCAGATCTGCAGTGAGTATCCCTTTGAACACTGGTTACAGCACCAGCCCTCCAAATCCCCTTTCCCAGCCCCAGGGATCTCAGCTCTTGACTCACAAGCTTTATTTCACTGCCAGCTCTTCTGTTTCACTTCCTCCTCAACTCCTTCCCAGCAGTGCTACATAACACTGCATCTGGCTCTCAGGGCAGGATCTTTGTTTTAGCTCTAGCTCTGTGTGGTTTCAGTTCAGCACTTGAGCCCGTATTCCTGCCCCAACCTAACAATCCCTCCTGCAGTAACAGCTCTACAGTCTCTATCGGAGCCCTTGAAGCAATTTCAGCTCCAGCCATGCAATTCCCATCCCAGCTCCATATTCCCTATCCCAGCTCCACAGGGGTTTTACCCCAAACCCTACCACATTTCTGTCTCCTCCGGCTCTGCTTCCTCAGCTCCAGCTCCTCAGCTTCCTACTGCCTGCAGCTAAAAGCTGCTCCTGCTTCTCACTGCAGCTTGGCGCTGTTGATAAGAGCACAAATCAGTTACTGTCATAATTTCAATGTCTCTTGCAGCTATCCCACCCACTCTAATGGGATCCCAACTTTGGGGACCCTTGAGGCCTGAAGCCAAACATCTACCTTCCCCCGCCCCCTGGGTCTCAGCCCAGCACCTCCCCAAAGGCCCCCTCACCTCTCCCAGGCAGCCCCAGGGGCTGGGAATAGCCACCGGGCCCCTGCTCCCACCTCCCAAAAGGTGCCCTTGGGCTGATGCATGGGCCCTGGAACCCTCCGAGCCCCCACACCCTCAGCCTCTGCTTGGTACCAAGGGGCAGGGGCTGGGAACCCCCAGGCATCTCCTGCAGGCCCTGCACTGCAGCTCCATGCCTCTCTCCCAAGGCATTTATCCAACTCCAGCCCCAGCATTTCCACTGCTCCACATTGTTTTGGGCCCGACTCGTGCCAAAGTCCTTATTCCACACCCTGGGCCTTTATGTCTCCCCGGTGACCTCACAACCCGTGATTCAACCCCAGCCCCACAACCCTTACTAAATTAACGTCAGATAAAAAAAAACGAAACCAAACAAATTAAGTTTAATAAAACAAACAGAACAATGAAATAATGCAATACAGAAAAAATTGAGTAAAAGCAAAATCAAATAATAAGAAAGCAAACAACCAGCTTTATTCCCAGTATTCTCAACGTTACTTTAAATCCAGAAACCGTGAAACGGCTACTGCCCAGTGACAGCAGCCGGACCCCCTTCGCCACTCCCTGCCCCGCACGAGCCTCTGGCCGCCCGAGCCGGGCAGGGCGCGGCGCAAACAACTGGACACCGCCGGCCCCCGGCGCAGGCAGACGCGGGAGTCGCGTCCGTGCTCACCAGCGCTCCTCGGATCGGCAGCCGCGGGGGGCCCGTCCCGGCGCAGCAGCGCTCCCCAGAACGCGCATCCGCAGCTCCCGTCGCCTCCAGCCCCGCCGCCGAACTGACGCCGCCGCCAGCCCGACGCACGCTACTTATACCTCAGCGCCGGCCCCGCCAGCCAATCACAACCCGAGGCAGCGCCGGCCCCACCAATCCGAGCCCGCCCATTCCCGCTGCGCTCGGCTCGCGACCACCCCGCGCTCCCCTCACGTGCCGCTCCTGCCGCCGCCATTGCAGGGGCCGGGTCCGCCCGCTCCCCGCCGTCAGCCCGTTTCCCTGGGAGAAATCCCGGCCGGCGCCTTAACGGGAAGTTCCCGCCCGCCCTTCCCGGCCCCAGCGCCTGCCGAGGCTGCGGCAGCAGGGATGATAGGGCTCCGCCGGCTCCCAAAGCGGCGGCGGGAGCGGCGCCTCTGGCGCACGGGGGAGCGGGGCCAGGCTGAGGAGTCGGGCCGCGACTGAGCGGGCTGAAATGGCAGGAACCGCGCCCGGTTTGAAAGGGCGGCTGTGATTGGACAGGGCGGGGAAAGGCGGGCCGGGATTGGCGGGGCTCGGGAGCTGCGTGGCCGCGGCCCGTGGCAGCGTGGGGCGGAGCCCGCGCTGCTCGAAGGGCCCGCGGGCGCCCGGGTCCCGCTCGGA